AACACAAGAGAAGAAAAGGACCTACAAAACAAACCTGAAACAATTAAGAAAATGGTCATAGGAACATACATATCCATAATTACCTTAAACGTGAATGGATTAAATGCTCCAACCAAAAGACACAGGCTTGCTGAATGGATACAAAAACAAGACCCATATATATGCTGTCTACAAGAGACCCACTTCAGACCTAGGGACACATACAGACTGAAAGTGAGGGGATGGAAAAAGATATTCCATGCAAATGGAAATCAGAAGAAAGCTGGAGTAGCAGTACTCCTATCAGATGAAATAGACTTTAAAATAAAGAATGTTACAAGAGACAAGGAAGGACACTACGTAATGATCAAGGGATCAATCCAAGAAGATATAACAATTATAAATATATATGCACCCAACACAGGAGCACCTCAATACATAAGGCAACTGCTAACAGCTATAAAACAGGAAATCGACAGTAACACAGTAATAGTGGGGAACTTTTAACACCTCACTTACTCCAATAGACAGATCATCCAGACAGAAAATTAATAAGGAAACACAAGCTTTAAATGACACAATAGACCAGATAAATTTCATTGTTATTTATAGGACATTCCATCCAAAAACAGAAGATTACATTTTCTTCTCAAGTGCGCACGGAATATTCTCCAGGATAGATCACATCTTGGGTCACAAGTCAAGCCTCAGTAAATTTAAGAAAATTGAAATCATATCAAGCATCTTTTCTGACCACAACGCTATGAGATTAGAAATCAATTCCAGGGAAAAAAACGTAAAAAGCACAAACACATGGAGGCTAAACAATACGTCACTAAATAACCAAGAGGTCACTGAAGAAATCAAAGAGGAAATCAAAAAATACCTAGAGACAAATGTCAATGAAAACACGACGATCCAAAACCTATGGGAGGCGGCAAAAGCAGTTCTAAGAGGGAAGTTTATAGCTATACAAGCCTACCTCAAGAAACAAGAAAAATCTCAAATAAACAATCTAACCTTACACCTAAAGGAACTAGAGAAAGAAGAACAAACAAAACCCAAAGTTAGCGGAAGGAAAGAAATCATAAAGATCAGAGCAGAAATAAATGAAACAGAAACAAAGAAAACAATAGCAAAGATCAATAAAACTAAAAGCTGGTTCTTTGAAAAGATAAACAAAATTGATAAACCATTAGCCAGACTCATCAAGAAAAAGAGGGAGAGGGCTCAAATCAATAAAATTAGAAATGAAAACGGAGAAGTTACAGCAGACACCGCAGAAATACAAAGCATCCTAAGAGACTACTACAAGCAACTCTATGACAATAAAATGGACAACCTGGAAGAAATGGACAAATTCTTAGAAAGGTATAACCTTCCAAGACTGAACCAGGAAGAAAGAGAAAATATGAACAGACCAATCACAAGGAATGAAATTGAAACTGTGATTAAAAATCTTCCAACAAACAAAAATCCAGGACCAGATGGCTTCACAGGTGAATTCTATCAAACATTTAGAGAAGAGCTGACACCCATCCTTCTCCAACTCTTCCAAAAAACTGCGGAGGAAGGAACACTCCCAAACTCATTCTATGAGGCCACCACCACCCTGATGCCAAAACCAAACAAAGATACTACAAAAAAAGAAAATTACAGACCAATATCACTGATGAATATAGACGCAAAAATCCTCAACAAAATACTAGCAACACATTAAAAGGATCATACATCATGATCAAGTGGGATTTATCCCAGGGATGCAAGGATTCTTCAATATAATCAATGTGATACACCATATTAACAAATTGAAGGAGAAAAACCATATGATCATCTCAATAGATGCAGAAAAAGCTTGTGACAAAATTCAACACCATTTATGATAAAAACTCTCCAGAAAGTGGGCATAGAGGGAACTTACCTCAACATAATGAAGGCCATATACGACAAACCCACAGCAAACATCATTCTCAATGGTGAAAAACTGAAAGCATTTCCTCTAAGATCAGGAACAAGACAAGGATGTCCACTCTCACCACTATTATTCAACACAGGTTTGGAAGTCTTAGCCACGGCAATCAGAGAAGAAAAAGAAATAAAAGGAATACAAATTGGAAAAGAAGAAGTGAAACTGTCACTGTTTGCAGATGACATGATACTATATAGAGAGAATCCTAAAGATGCCACCAAAAAACTACTAGAGCTAATCAATGAATTTGGGAAAGTAGCAGGATACACAATTAATGCACAGAAATCTCTTGCATTCCAATACACTAATGATGAAAAATCTGAAAGAGAAATTAAGGAAACGCTCCCATTTACCATTGCAACAAAAAGAATAAAATACCTAGGAATAAACCTACCTAGGGAGACAAAAGACCTGTAGGCAGAAAACTATAAGACACCGATGAAAGAAATTAAAGATGATACCAACAGATGGAGAGATATACCATGTTCTTGGATTGGAAGAATCAATATTGTGAAAATGACTATACTACCCAAAGCCATTTACAGATACAATGCAATCCCTATCAAATTACCAGTGGCATTTTTTACGGAACTAGAACAAAAAATCTTAAAATTTATACGGAGACACAAAAGACCCCGAATAGCCAAAGCAGTCTTGAGGGAAAAAAACGGAGCTGGAGGAATCAGACTCCCTGACTTCAGACTATACTACAAAGCTACAGTAATCAAGACAATATGGTACTGGCACAAAAACAGAAACAGAGATCAATGGAACAGGATAGAAAGCCCAGAGATAAACCCACGCACCTATGGTCAACTAATCTATGACAAAGGAGGCAAGGATACACAATGGAGAAAGGACAGTCTCTTCAATAAGTGGTGCTGGGAAAACTGGACAGCTACATGTAAAAGAATGAAATTAGAACACTCCCTAACACCATACACAAAAAAAAACTCAAAATGGATTAGAGACCTAAATGTAAGACCAGACACTATAAAACTCTTAGAGGAAAACATAAGAAGAACACTCTAACACAAATCACAGCAAGATCTTTTTTGGTCCACCTCCTAGAGTAATGGAAATAAAAACAAAAATAAACAAATGGGACCTAATGAAACTTCAAAGCTTTTTGCACAGCAAAGGAAACCATAAACAAGACGAAAAGACAACCTTCAGAATGGGAGAAAATATTTGCAAATGAATCAACGGACAAAGGATTAATCTCCAAAATATATAAACAGCTCACACAGCTCAATATTAAAAAAACAAACAAGCCAATCCAAAAACGGGCAGAAGACCTAAATAGACATTTCTCCAAAGAAGACATACATATGGCCAAGTAGCACATGAAAGGCTGCTCAACATCACTAATTATTAGAGAAATGCAAATCAAAACTACAATGAGGTATCACCTCACACCAGTTAGAATGGGCATCATCAGAAAATCTACAAACAGCAAATGCTGGAGAGGGTGTGGAGAAAAGGGAACCCTCTTGCACTGTTGGTGGGAATGTAAATTGATACAGCCACTATGGAGAACAATATGAAGGTTCCTTAGAAAACTAAAAATAGAATTACCATATGATCCAGCAATCCCACTACTGGGCATATACCCAGAGAAAAGCATAATTCAGAAAGACACATGCACCCCAATGTTCATTGCAGCAGTATTTACAATAGCCAGGTCATGGAAGCAACCTAAATGCCCATTGACAGACGAATGGATAAAGAAGTTGTGGTACATATATACAATGGAATATTACTCAGCCATAAAAAAGGAACGAAATTGGGTCATTTGTTGAGACGTGGATGGATCTAGAGACTGTCATACAGAGTGAAGTAAGTCAGAAAGAGAAAAACAAATATCGTATATTAATGCACATATGTGGAACCTAGAAAAATGGTACAGAGAACCACTTTGCAAGGCAAAAATAGAGACACAGATGTAGAGAACAAATATATGGACACCAAGGGGGAAGGGAGGGTGGGGAGATGAATTGGCAGTTTGGGATTGAGATGTACACACTGATGTGTATAAAATTGATGACTAATAAGAACCTGCTGTATAAAAAAATAAATAAAATAAAATTCAAAAATTAAACAAAAGAAAAAGAAAGGTTAAAGAAAAGAAAAAAAATTCCCAGGTGTTCATTAAATCTGTGTACTATCCTATGTTCTCTGAACCAAACTGATGCACCAAACAAGTTTTATATGATTCTCTCTATATAAAGAGTTTCCTTTTTTCCAAATTAAAATCATATTTCTCTTTCTCTCTCAGTACTACTGAACATGTTTCCATTCTACTGCTGGAATGAGTTATTTACTGAGTCATTCTTGTCAGTTACTAGCAGTAAAATGTTTTAAAGACTTAAGTCAGTGGTCACACAGTGTAAATTCGTTTTCCAGTTACACAGTTTTTCACTGGCTTCATTAGGAAAACGTACAGCTGATGGTGACTGAGAAGTTATTATTGTCTCTCTGTTAAAGAGACAAAATGAGAGAGGGGGGCTTCCCTGGTGGCGCAGTGGTTGAGAGTCCGCCTGCCGAGGCGGGTTCGTGCCCTGGTCCGGGAAGATCCCGCATGCCGTGCAGCGGCTGGGCCCGTGAGCCATGGCCGCTGAGCCTGCGCGTCCGGAGCCTGTGCTCTGCAACAGGAGAGGCCACAGCAGTGAGAGGCCCGCATACCACAAAAAAAAAAAAAAAAAAATGAGAGAGGGCCTGAGAGCGAGTGTGGAGCACAGGGGCTCCAGAGCCCAAGCGCAGTGCAGTCACTTCACTCCAGATGCAGCTGAAGGAGAAAGAAGGGGAATGCCAGAAAAGTAGAATGGGACTAATGGACCTGAAGAAAACACGCCGAATGGGTTCATCTTGGTAAATCAGAGTCCAGTATTTACCAGGCAGCAAAGCCCTCAAGAGCACAACATTTATCTAGAAGATACACAGCACACCTCGGCGGGCTGGCCACGCCTCGTGGGGGAGCTAGAGGCACACGGCACAGAGCCCCCCAGACTGCTTTAACCGTCCGACTATGGAGAAGGGGAAAGATGCTTACTTGGGTGTCACAGGAGAAGACGACCTCTTAGAAACGCCTGCTGGAAAATCGCATCTTCTCAGAGGGGACATGAGGCCCACGCTGGGAACGGAAGTTGTTGTTCTTGGCCCCCTCTTCATCTTCTCCGTCTGTAGGGGACACAGAATAGGACGTCCATGGCCCATGACTGCCATTACTTCTACAATTTCTAAAAATACCCCAGATAGAAGCAATGCACAGCTTTCTTTCAGAAGGAACCATACGGAGCTATACTGCTTCTCACAATGGGAATCTTTGCAGAGAAGCACCAGGGGGTCATCATATTTAGGTCATTCAGTTAAAAAAACAAACAAAAAACCCCTCAGCTTTAAAACATAAAGACCGCCTTCTCCTTGTTATCTTACAAAAAGCTAACAATGGAACCAGATTATGGTCCTGGACATATAGAAGCTGGAACGAGTACCAAGATACACAATCACTATTAAAAAAAAAAAAAAGCTATAGGTGGGTGCAAGACAGGGAGCTGGGGACCTTAACAGTGTACGCAGTTTAACAGGGACTGCAACCCCTCCATCCCTCTATGTCTTCCCCATGGCCTGCCTCACATGGGCCTCTGTGACTGGCCCGCGGCAGGCAGTCTGCAACGGTGGTCCCCTTCTCTCCCTATTGTGATTTTCCGCAGCAAATCCTCACGCAGCCCCCATGCCTACATACATTAGCCCCCTTCCACAGGAATCCACCCAGCAGTAAAACCCTAGGGTCTGAAACATTCACTTCTCCTGTGAGAACCTTGGGATCACACTGGATTAACAAAATAAATATGGTGTTATAAAATAAATGCCCAATGGTAATGTGGTGTTTAAAATGAGTCTGGATGTCATTTGATGCTCCTTGCTTTAACAGGTGGAGCTCAGTTCCCTTCTCCTCAAGCGTGGGTTTGGTCTCTCTCTCTCTCTCTGATCTCTTGCTCTAGGGGAAGCCAGCTGCCATGTTATCTGGACACTCAAGCAGCTGTCTGGAGAGGTCCATGCAGTAAGGAACTGGGGCCTCCTGCCAAGGGCCACGTGAGTGAGCTGTCCTGGAAGAGCCCCAGCCAAGCTTTCTGACGACTGCAGCCCTGGCTGCCGTCCTGACCACACCCTCATGAGAGACCCTGAACCAGAAGCACCCAGCTAAGCCATCCTCAATTTCTGACCCAAAGAACCAGTGAGGTAATAAACATTGGCTTTAAGCTGCTAAGGTCTGGGGTAATTTGTTACATAGCAAGTGTAACTAGTGAAGGTAGTATGGCATGTATAACTTCTAAACAAATCTACACAATCGGGGGTACCTGCTCAACATCTGCCTTACTGAGTGTTACCATGACGACAAAAATGTTTAAAGCCCACTGTTGTGGATGAAGGTTGACCTAGAACTTCAGTTCTAGTTGCCTGTAGAGGCAAGACTGGCCCAGAATCAGACATCCTTAAAGAAGCAGAGAAAGGGCACTCGGAACATTCCTTCTGACGCCCGTCCTCTGGAGGACAGGCTATAACGAGGACAAGGGCTTTAGGAATCTGTTCCAAGGCACTAAGATTTAGGAGGGTGCAAAAAGTTAAATGATTTTCAAAGGTTGGGTGCAGTTTTAAACCAAATCTGCCCCTTGAGCAGTCCCTGGAGATAGATGGAAATAGAGCCCAGGTCAAGTGCAGGGAGTAATCACACTGTCAGATAAACCAGTCCTGAGGGGCGAGTGGGTATAAACCTACCGGAGAGGCCTCCGCTCCTGCAGGGGCTCCTTTCCCAGCATCTCCTACGCCAGATGTAGATGTCGTCTTCTTCTTCTCGGCATTTCGAGTGGGAGAAGACTTGTAGGAAGATTTAAGGGGGCCAGCAGGAGCTACACGAGGACAGGCATGGGATACTAGAGAGTTACAGTATAAAACCCAGAGACACAGGGAGCATAGATGGAAAAAGTAGGGGGAACAGAGGGTTGGGAAGAACACCACATTTCTGTTAAAATGTGACACGGGCAATCCACATTCTCAAAATACCACCACACTTTTTCTAGTGTACACAGAATAGACCGTATCTTAAAAGACCCCCATACTCAATGCTCGAGTACAGCTCATTTCAGGGGTTCAAAATCTGGACTTTGGAGCCAGATGGACCTAGCACCATCACCTAATAGCTGGATCACCTTGGGTAGGTGACTTAACCTCTCTAAATGTCAATTTCCTTGTACAGGAGACAGTTAACATAGCAGACCTGACTGCTGTCCTTGGAAGGGCCTGTTCACAAGGTTGACCCTTGTAAGCACCTGGAAACTTGGATTTCAGGAGGGTTCTCACCATTAACTGATGAGTAGCTCACTGTGCCTAAGCTGTCTGTACAAACAACATGACTGATCTTGCTTTCTTGTTCTGAGTCTGGAATGTGGTATGTGCCTGGCAGGGGGTGCCTATGTGACCAGCGCTGGGCGCTGGGTCTCTAACGAGCCTCCCTGGTTGGCAACATTTCACGCGTGTTGTCGCAGCTCGCTGCTGGGGGACTCAGGCACATCCTGTGTGACTCCACTGGGAGGGGACTCCTGGAAAGCTGCACCTGGTGTCCTCTGGACTCGCCCGTGCGCCAATTCCCCGTGCTGATTGTGCTGTGCGGCCTTCCGCTGGAACATCTCAGCTACGAGCGCCACCACATGCTGAGTCCTCTGAATCCCCCTAGCGAATCACTGAACCCGGGGTGGTCTTGGGGACCCCTGACACAATTGGCGTCAGAAGCAGGAATCCTGAGAAAGACCCTGATTCCCTGATGTATAGTAAAAGCATTGTTTGGTAAAAGGAAGGAGAAAGGGGTGGAGGATGACGACCCACTGATGCCTGGTGGCTATGGAGCCCCCCACCAGAGGAAACCGCAGCCAAGCTGCTGTCTGTTGTGAGAGGTGAAATACCTATGGAATCTGAAGATGACCCATGGAACTCCAAGTGCTGGCTTGCTCCATCCTCTGGCTGCTTTTGGCCATGCTGGCTTAAGTGAGGAGAAGAGCGCAGCCCAGGTGATGCCTTTAGTTTTCACTTTCTCCTCCAAGTGGAAGTGGGACACAACCTCCTTGTTTTTTACCCCCAGTGCTTTGGCTGGAATTTAAATTCTGAGTAGTGGAACCAGAACAAGTCTCCGTACCTGGTGATTTTTGCATAATGGAGCCTCTGGGAAAAGGGAGTTGTAAAAAGAGAGGCAATCTCCAGACAGAAGCACACTTTTGAAGTTTTAAAAATCAACCCGGAACCACTGTAGATACAGAACACCCTTCCGTGGGGCCCTAACCTGAGAAAACATCACAGATGCTGGCTGGACCATCCGGGTCACAGACAAATGCACACAGGAAAGGGCTCGTTCTCTGATGGGACCATCCAACACGGAGCTGCTGGTGGGCTCTCGACTTCTGATGTGGAGCCTGACTGCATTTCTAACTTGTAATTCCTGCCAGAGCTGCAAGCTGGGAAAAGGCACTGAAGGGAGTGTGACCCCTCCGTCCACCTCGACGAGCAGGCTCGACCCACTCTGGGGGATGCACCACTGCTGACGAGACAAGACGTCTGGTGTTTGACTTTCCAGATTGGCTACGGTTTGTTAACAACGGACCGAGAGCCTGACTCTACTTCCCTTGCCCTTCTCCTGCTACGCACACCTCAGAAAGGCAACTTGTTCAATGCACCTGTCCTTGAAAAGGGACTGATCTTTTCTAGGCTGCTCACTGGATAAATGAAGAGGATGAAAGAGACGGGGGGTGATGCAAACCTAGTTCGAAATTTTTTGAAAGTTCAGGATTTTGTCCCAGTTTCTGAGCAGGATGTGTCATTCTGCTTAAGTTGGACACATTTTTTTTTTTAAATAAAAATGCTCTTGTCCTTCTTGCATTCAACCCTTCCAGATGAAAGGTCCATGTTAGAGTAGAGGAAGACTGAGAAAATGTAAAGTTGTGATTATGGAAAGGGGCATGCTGATAACAATGGAGAAAAACAACAAAACCCAGCCCCATTGGAGTGGTGCAGGGGAGGGCCAGGGGAGGGGCATTCACGATCTTTCTCTTCCGGAACTGTTTCTGGGAACTCTCCCCTCTTGCTGAAGGAAAACCACACTGCCTTTGCAAGCTGCTGCCAGCGCTTCAGATTCACACAGATTGCAGGTGACAGCGTGACCTGAGACGGCAGGGGCAGGCCAGCTCCTGCGCAGTCCCCGCTCAACACCTCCACACGCAGTCCACGCTCGGCCGGAGATGAAGCCAGTGTCGCTCGCAGAACTGTTTAGAATGGACCGCCTCAGGCAGTGCCTCTGAAAGCAAGGACTGAGAGCTGGGGGCCCTGTGAGCCTGGACTGCCTGCCCAATGCACGTCCTGCGTGGGGTGCCCGAACATCATAAACTCTGTTTCCAGGGGACATGTGTGCTCTCGGGGACTGTACTTGTACCATCACGACACTGCCTCAGCCCTGGATGGCTTTGGGCCAGCTTCATCTTACTGCCCAGCGCTGGCTGGGCCTGAATTGATGCCTCAGGCCAGGTAGAAGAGGTTCATATGGAAACTTACAGAGGAAGCCAGCTGGCTTTCTAAGACAGACCTTGATGGTGACTGGTCTGTGTCTTAACTGTCTAAGTCCAGCACCCCCTACATGGCATAAGTGAGATCCACACGGTAGGTTGGCCTCAGCCTGCTATACGAGCTCCTATTGATAATAATTCTGCTGTAAAGACACCGTGGCCAAGGACCAAGGGGGTGAACTGTGCAGAGAAGAACAGAAAAAACACAGCAGGCCTAGCTGCTTTCCCTGGAAAGGCCTGCTTACCACGCTGGCCCCGGCATCGGGGAACTTGGATTTGGGCAGAGTTCCCACCGTTAACTGGTAAGAGTGGCTCACTGTGCCTAAGTTGTTTGTACAAACAACATGACTTACGCTGAACACCTGCTTTCCTTCTGCGTTTGGAATTTGGGTACGTACCTGGCAGGGGGTGCCCACATGACCAGCCCCCACTACAAACTCTGGGCACTGTGTCTCTAATGGGCTTCTGTGGTTGGCAACACTTCATACATGTGCTAATTCATTGCTGGGGGAACGTGTCCTGTGTGACTCCACTGGGAGAGGACACCGGGAGCCTGTGCCCGGTCTTCCCTGGACTTTGTTCCATGTACCCTTTCCCTTCGCTGATTTTGCTCTGCAGCTTTTTGCTGTAATAAATCATAGCTCTGAGCTCTCCTGGAGAATCATCAAGCCTGGGAGAACTCCTCCTGACACATTTCTCATTCTCAAAATGGGGATACTTCCTACTTGCCAGGAATTTTGTGTTTATTTGTTTGAGATAGAATTCATACACCATAAAGGTGTACAAGTTAGTGGTTTTTAGCATATTTACAAGGTTGTGCAACCATAACTACAGTCTAATTCCAGAACAGTTTCAACACCCCCAAAAGAAACCCTGTGCCCATTCAGCACTCACTCCTCTTCCCCCTCCCCTAGTGCCTAGTACCCACTTATTTACTGTCTCTCTGGATTTGTCTATTCCAGACATTTCATAAAAATGGAATCATAAAACTTGTGGCATTTTCTGCCTGGCTTCTTTCACTGAACGTAATGTTTTCAAGGTTCATCATGTAGCATGTATCAGTAATTCATTCCTTTTTATAGCTGAATAATATTCCACTTTATGGATAAACACACTTTGTTTATCCATTCATCTATTGTTGGATATCTGGGCTGTTTCCACATTGTGGCTAATCTGAATAATGCTGCTGAGAATACTTGTATACTTCATTGTGTATGTTTTCAATTTCCTTGACTCTATACCAAAGAGCAGAATTGCTGGTTCATGTGGTAACTCTAACATTTTGAAAAACTTGTCAGACTGTTTTCCAAGGCAGCTGCACATTTTACGTTCCCACCAGCAGTGTATAAAGGTTACAATTTCTCCCACATCCTCGCCAATACATATTACAGTTGACTCTTGAACAACACAGGTTTGAACCGCATGGGTCCACTTACACGCAGATTTTATTCAATAGTAAATACTACGGTACTATTTGTGGCTGGTTGAATCTGCGGATAGGGAACCAAGTATACAGAGGGCTGATTATAAAGTTAAATGCAGATTTTTGACTGAGGCGGGCTGGTACCCCCAACGCCTAAATTGTTCAAGAGTCAACTGTATTATCCTTTTTTTCTTTGAATTTTAGCCATCCTAGTAGTGGGAAGTAGTATCTCATTATGGCTTTGATTTGCATTTCCCTAATGACTAAGGATGTTCAGCATCTTGTCATGCGCTTATTGGCCATTTGTATATATTCTCTGCAGAAACAGCACAACTACTTGGAAACAGATAGAACTAGGTAGAGGACAATATGTCATTTATATGTTATCTCACTGAATACACTATATCTTGGGAACTGACACGGAGACCAGACATGCCCTAATGTGGACACAGCATTACTCACTTGCAAAACTCACAGGGAACACTAGTGCCCATTAATTTTTTTTTTTTTTTTTAGTCCCCATTAAACTTGCCATGATGGTTTGATCTGCTTTGGTCAAGGAAGGGTTTTGACGGTGTGGCCCACTGTTTCTTGGACTTCAGTGTGTAGGTCTGGCGGGGCCTGAGAGGCCACCCTCCTACAAGCTCCCAGGTAATACCAACGCTGTTGGTCCATGGACCACCCCTTGAGTAGTGAGGCTCTAGATACCTGTTCTGACTGTGTCCATCATTGTGCTATCTCATTTAATCCTCATGACAATTTAATATTAGTCCACTTTAGAGATGAGGAAACTGAGGCTTAGAGAGGTTAATTAACTCACCCAAAGTGGTAAGAGCTAGTAAGTGGTAGAGCTGGTTATGGGACTTCTGAGATTGCAGTTTATAGGCTATTTTACCAAACCGTCTTTTTAAAAAAGTCTACTAACCGCCATAGCTCATGAGATGGATTTTTCTCCCCTAATCCACATGCCCTCACTCATAAAATAATTTACTCACCTCCGTGACACTTGAGAGAAAAGAAATATAGCAACAATAAAACAGTGGTGGGTAGAAAATGTTATTAACCAAAGAAGACATTTCATGAAGCCAACAAATGTGAAGCAAGATACAAAAATTCAGGAATAACTCAAAGGCCAGCCAATACCATTTGGGGCATTTTCCTCAGTGTCACCAGCTTGGCCTCTTTTACCTGAGTGACTGGCCTGCTCAGAGAGCATGAGTGCACTTCTGCTTCTGGCTAAAGAAGCCTGTGTGGGTGTCAACAGTCGCATAACAAGAAAGGTTTCCATGGGACTAAGGTGCGTGCGATGAGCTGAGGGATGGAATCAAATGAAAATTTTAAAAAGCGAAATTAAAACAAAACAAAATAAAATGCCTAAAACAACACAGTGCATGATGCAAATCAACTTTTGGGTGGCAGAACGAACGTGGAAAGAAAAAAATATTGTAGCAAAGGATGGCTTTGGAGCTTGTCATAGTAAAAGAAAACAGACGCTGTGTCATTTAGAGCTTGGGAGAGTGTGTTACTTCTCTTGGGGTGCCAGAATTCATTCAACATGCTATTACAGAATTAGCGTATCACCTGTATCACCCGAAGAGAATTAGCTCGTATTCCAAGATGTCATATGGACTCAAGAAACCATTTACTCACCAAGTAGATCTAACATTGGAAAAAAAAGATTACTCCTACAAAACACTTGTTTTAGGCCCTCTGTTAGGAAATATTTCATAACACACTGATTTTGTTAATGTAGAGATATGCATCCTTTCATACTTTTCCCAAGCAAGTAAGGGCAAAAATTAAATAAGAAACATTTAAAAAAAATAGCCAACTAATTATCAGCTTTAATGGAAGTAGTAGTATCCATAATCTAAAATTCAGTGACTGAAATGTTATTTTGATGGTTTCAGAACATATTATATGATAATGGATTAACTTTTCAATGACTTCGTCTTCTTTGGGTATCCACTAGCCAGTAAATGGCTTGGGAATTTCAAATTTTCAATTACTAATCCACAAGCAGATAATTCAGTTGCCAACAATATATAATAACATACTGATTATCTTTACACATTAATCAATGCAAATATGAATTTAACATCAACTTGTAACCATATGAATTAATGAAAACCTATGGGATATACTCACAGATGGAACAGCTATACAGAATTAAAAGCATGCAGATGTTTTCTCATCCAGCTCCTAGTTAATTCAAGGTTTCCAGCGCTTACCCATGAACTGCATCAGCGAGCTTCAACACTGACACTTATGGGGTCTCTGACACACATGACAGACCTCTGTGCTGGAGGTGCAAGGTCAAAGCCAGTGGCAAAAGACCAGGAACGCACACTGGCCTCTTCAGAGTCACAAACATCCTCCTGCTCACCTCCGGTGATGACTCGATGTGTTAAATACTCCACTGGCACCTGACACTTCTTCAGTGATGCTTTAGGATATGCATTTAATGCATGGAGAGCTTCCCTCCCTTCCTTAGCCTACAAACTCTGAAAGGTAGCAATTCAGACTTTTAGTGCCTTCTCTGAGCCTCCATTAGAACACGGCTGGTTTTATATCTATTCAGCTTCTGGAACTGGCACCCGTCCTATACATACCACCTCTCACCTCAAAACAGAGCGCCAGAAAAGGCCACCCATCCTTTTGCCCTTTTAAAGATTTCATATTAGTTCTGAACTTCTGTTTTCAAAAGAGAAACGGGCAGGCTTACAAACCACAGACAAGAGCAGAGCCCCATTTTTTTCACACATCTAAGTCTCCCACGTACCTCTGCCTCATCAATCCCGCTGTTTCTGGCTAATCAACAATATCGCACCAATAACTGGGCAGTTACTTTTTTAACAGTCACATCTGCCCACTGGTCAATTAACCCCAGGCCAGGATAACGTCTACACGCACCGTGGAAAATGGAAGTCTCTTTCAGACTGGGAGCATAGCATGAACTCCTGTCCCTATTCAACAATGACCTGGTTGTGAAGAGCGCGTTGCCACTTTCCAAAGTCCCATTAGTGAGGCCCTGGGGCTCCCACACACAGATCGCAAGGCTAGGAGAATGGGGCTATTTGCAGAAGGCTCAAGAGGGGCTCTCCCAAAGACCGACGTTAACACGCTCACACTAGAAAGAAGAAAACTGGAGAGACCAGGTCTACACGTTCACTTGCCTCGGTCTGGGGAATAGGACATTGTCGCAGTGGATGAAGACAGGCGCTTACTCATGGGAGGCTCCGTCTGCTTTGGCAAATTCATGGTTGATGTTGAAAGTTTGTCACATGCTGCAGAGAAATGCATTAAAGACGTTGGTATTCACACCACTCTAGGCTAAGAAACACATTTCCCGAAGTGTTCTTCCTGTCCTCATCCACACGCCTCCAAAACCACTGTGGCACAGCCCACTGCTTCCAGCTCCCTGCCCTCCACTTGGCACGTCTGGGAACGCCCGGGCCACAGCAGCCATCCATCTGAAGCAAGTTCTTCTCTTCTATCGCTCAACTTTGTGTTTCTCTTTGATTCCAATGTTCAACCTCACTCAGCTGTTCAACTAAAGCCATGCTAATCCCACCAGCCAACCCTTTCCTTGTGTCCAGGGACTTTTAAGTAAATTCAGACCACACAAAAACAAAACCAACCTGGACCCAGAGACAAAGCACCACTGCAAAATGTTCCACGATCTGACTGAGACTGGGGGAGCTGAAACTGGACTTTTTCTGAGGTTATCTAGAGCTCAGGTTGCAGAGAGAAGTAATTTGTAAAGCAAGGAGCTGTATTTAAAGCAGAACAACCTTTAGCAGTTGGTTTCTTCCTTTTATCAAGAGATGGGGTCACAATGGCCCTTTCTCAAAGGCTATGACTGTTTATGGTTAGGATTTTAAAATGTGGTCCTGGGTTTGGTACTCTTAATTTCCCGCCGTTATCTCAGACGGGCTTCTAAATGAAACGACTGTAGCAACCCGAGAGGTGCTGACAGTGCCAGCCAAGCCACAACCGAGCTTGAGGCAAAAGGAAAGATGTGTGGCCCCAGCTCTAAAGGCAGCAAACTCATCAACAATATTTTCAAAATCTACTCTTCTACTCACCTTGTTTTCAAATGAGAGAAGTGTCATGTTTGACAGTTTCTCCTGACCAAGTGATGACCCTAAATAATTTTTAAATAACTTAGACTGAAGTAAAATTATCATACAGTCTGTTTGGGTATAAATAAAATATTTAAACTTAAAATGGTATGAGTTTTCATACACCTACTTTTCAATGTTTCAGTTTGAGTATTTTAATGTTCTGGGGAAAATAACCATTAGAAATTACATAAAACCATGTCTCTAGGGGTACACATTTCCCCCTTTGCCTCAGGCTCCGATATAGCTCAGCATGGTACTGGTCTTTGCAAATTCAATATTTTGTTCATCACAGACTGTTCTTCATTAATTTTGATTAAAATATTCTTTTATCTTGATTACTGAGATTTCTGCCACTCCCTTTTAAACTAAGTGCTCCAGTCGAGTACCACACTCACCTCACCCTGTCCCAGGGCCCTGGGTATGATTCCCAAGGTGTCATTATCAACTCTACCTGCCCCTCTCTGTTGGGGGAAGGCCAGTGCCCATATGACAGTGAATGCGGCCCAGGCGGCAAAGTCTCTGCTACTCAGCAACGCCAATAAAAATTATTCTTTGTCAAAGAAATGCTGGAGACCAAGGATATTTATTCCTAATGCTATAATTTGACCCTCTGGGTGGCTGGGAAATATTGTATCCCTTTTACATCTTGTTTTTTCTTTACCAGTCAACGATGGGTTGAATTTCTAAAGTCACTATTAAATGGGAACAAGGTTTTGCTAGTTCTATTCTTGACCTAGACCCTAAGAATTTCCCAGGCCTGTATATGAAACAGAGAGCCTATTAGAGAGAGGAGATCAAGAACAAAGCCAATCTATCTCCTTGTTTGGATTCACAGTGTTAGTACGGTAAACTCAAACACCTCTCCAGGAATCCATCACATTAATACCCAGAACTCCGTGTAATTATAGGTTCTGGTAACCAGAAGTGATTGAATACCCTACTACTTAATGCCTAAAACCAATGATACGTGAGAGCGTTGAAGATCTAAACGCACAGAAGTCAAACACTGACAAGATTTTCAAGGCTGAAGTTAGTGAGCTAAAGATGAAATGTCTCCAGGGTACTAGGATGTAAGGCATGCACGCTCCACGATGACGAACAAAGAAATATGGGCATGTCATTCACTTTCTAGAAAAAAGTTCTAAGGGGTCAGACTAAGAAATCAATTGTAAAAGTGCTTGAGACAGACACAGTGATGGAGGAGGGTGACCGGGACAGTCATCACAAAACGCCATGGCACAGTGATGCTCGGGTATACCGTTGGAGGACTCAGCAGTGGCGGCAGCGGTCCCTGGGTCCGGAGGGAGGGTGCTGGCTGCTAAACCTAGAGGAGGGGGTGGGGTATTTCCTGATTCACCTACACAGCAAAAAAAAAAAAAATCAGAGCAAAGACAGGTAAAAGAAAAAAGTCCCAATTTCTGGTTGACTCTAGTTTCTATTAGGAAATTAGAAAAAGTAACTGAGATGGGTTGTTGACGTCTCAAAAAAAAAAAAAAAGAAAAGAAAAGTATATTCACTGACAAAAGGTTAAAAGCACAATACAGCAAAGTCAAGAAACTGTACCACTCATGTAAACCCATTTGCTCTCAGAAAGAGCTGGTATACAGCTCCTGCATAACAGAATGGCAGACACAGAAAAGACACTAAAAAGAGGGCAAAACCACCCAGGGACTAGTAACAATCCATACATTAAACATTTGAAAATTTAAAGATGAGTATGAACTGGATAATGAAATAAATAAGTCACCTTAAAACAAAACTGAAAGAGCAACAAAAATAAATAATGTGGAGGGAAGAACCCCAGCTCCTTTTATGGGGGTTACTGCTGCTCAGCCTTTCCCCGTCATGCTGCAGCCATGACTGAGCCTACTGTCATTGACCTTCCCTGAAATTAGGTCACCTCTGGGCTTGCTAGGTGGATCCGGTTAACCAGGCTCTACATTCATTTTCTTTGTTTTTCTTTTGTTTTACCTCAAAGCCCAGTTACTGTATCAACTGCTGTTTGTGAGCAAGAAGAATGAACAGACCCCCTTCGCAAGAAATGCATACACAGGAAGCTTGGCAGCTTTAAACATCACATCCGGAAAAGGTACCTGCAGATCGGTACAAAGCATCCCCCAGATCCTGCGGGTGCCAGTCTGCCCGTGGTCTCCCTCCTGCCCCAAGATCTCCCCACCGGGCCCTGCGATGCAGGGACAGCCCTTCACTCACCATCGCGTCCTCCGGGCCCCGCGGCCAGTGATGCTCCCCACGAGCACTTCTTCTTCAGCTCCAGCTGCTGTGTGCGCTCCAGGGACCTGCGCATCATCGCCTCCAGCCGCTCCTGCCCGGTTCACGCAAGAGACAGCAAGATTAACCACCCAGCCCCGCGGCACTGCTGCACCTCCGCGCGGGGTGGGGGTGGGGGGGTGAGTCACCAGACGGGTCTCTCTGCTCAGCATCCAAAACCCAGGCACTCGTGCTCTCCCCACCACGCCAGCGCCTTCTTAGTGGGCGGAGAGTAAACAAGGCGGCTAGTGCTGGCTCCCAGCCCCAGCACCTCTTCCCTCTCAGGGGAGAGGCTGCTGCCGCAGCCAGGCCTTGATTTGTTTAAGAATAATGCCAGACAAGCATTAACTCCTTGAGGCCTGTCGCATCCAGTAGAACTGGAATTGTGCTCTAGAACCAACTGCATCCTCTCTTGTTGACAAGCATCAAGGACTATGATTTGAGTAAACTGAAATATAATTTGAATTTTAATAGCCTTAAGCATAACTTTTTGGGGGGATACACCATGACTTTGAAGTCCATTTTGCAAAGTCCCATTTTCCTCTTAGAACGTCTTAAAGGGGAATTAATTGTTCTCTACATTATAACACTTTTCTGCTACGTAGTATCTGGGGATAATACTGCATATTTCAAAATTCAAGAGACAAAAGTAGAGAAACTTCTGTCCACAAAATCAAGCATCTATGCATTCTCAGAGCTAGACGCGGGGGGGGGGGGGGGGGGGGGGGAGGGAGGAAGAACTAAACAGTTTTTAGCCAGAAGAGAAAAACCACCAGGCTTCTCTCCTAACAGAGCATTTATCAAAAGCACTCCCCTGTATTAACCAAATTGTTCTTTTCATAAAGTTGGGCCTGACGGCTGGCAAGTCTTTCCCTGGCACTGCAATGACACTGCAAATACCAAATCCGCTCCCTGCCTCCACTGGAGAAGGCCCACAGGGTAAGCGGTTACACAGACACCTTTTCACCCTCATAAAACCCCACCCTGAGGTGCTGCAGGAACTGGGCTAATCCTAGCCCAACTTCAAAACAAAAAGATGCTATTTTCTCATGGCTTAAATAAACAAGCAAGCAAAATTAATTTAGGGCAGCACCAACTGAGTGACCGTGACTTAAGGATCGGGGAAAGGCTCCTTTATTTCACTCACTAGAAACACAAAAAGGTCACTTAGGAGGTGCCTGGATCTATCCCTTTTGTCCACACCAGAGGGATGAGATGAGCATTCTCCACATCTCAGCCTCCTCTGCATAATTTTTCCTCCGAATAGCGCTTTGCTAAAAGACAGCTTCTCCAGGGACCTGTGAGCAGAAAGGGGATTTCTTTCCTCCTGTAAGTCTCAGGTTTGTATTTGCTATTAACTGCGCTCTAGTTTTTGGCTGAGACTCTACAACCATGAGTGTGCATTTTCTGGCAGAATCCTGTTCTCAAGACCCTGGCCCATTAAATTCTGACAGCCAGCCCCAGCGGTTTGTCTGAGAAAAGATGAGGGCTTGGAGGAACTAGAACTTCTTGACTATTTGAGGACTGAAGTCTGATCACTCAAGACTGGGGCTCGATAGTATTCCTTTATATGGATTTAACATCAATTATTTAACCAATGACCTGATTTTTTTATATCTTCATTGGAGTATAATTGCTTTACAATGTTGTATTAGCTTCTGCTGTACAACAAACTGAATCAGCTATACATATACATATATCCCCATATCCCCTGCCTCCCACCAATGACCTAATTTAAGTGTTGAAATCTTTCACCTCAGAGTGAATTTAGTATTGAGTGGGTTATGGGAGATTGCCTACATGTCAGAAAGACCTCACAAGACAGTCCTTGGGCTTCCCTGGTGGCGCAGTGGTTAAGAATCCGCCTGCCAATGCAGGGGACATGGGTTCGAGCCCTGGTCCGGGAAGATCCCACATGCCACAGAGCAACTAAGCCTGTGCGCCACAACTACTGAGCCTGTGCTCTAGAGCCCGCGAGCCACAACGACTGAGCCCGCGTGTCACAGCTACTGAAGCCTGCGTGCCTAGAGCCCGTGCTCTGCATGCAACAAGAGAAGCCACTGCAATGAGAAGCCCACGCACTGCAATGAAGAGTAGCCCCGGCTTGGCGCAACTAGAGAAAGCCCGCTCACAGCAACGAAGACCCAATGCAGCCAAAAATAAATAAATAAAAAATAAATTTATTAAAAAAAAAAAGTCCTTCATCTACTAGGAGACTATGAGAACAAAGAACACCAAGACTCACGGCCAACCGAATCACTGAATAGCTATCTAGGGGCATAGTTTTAAGGGAATGTTCATCCAAAGCCAGACCTACTCCTGAGCCTTTCGGTTACCTTTAGAAAAAATATCTCTGTCATCTACCCCTAACCCACTGAGCTGCTCCAAATTCTACCATTAGAGATTTATTCTTATTCCTTTGAACTGTACGTAGACTTACGAAAATGATGCTATCCCTGAGAGAAGACACAGTCACTCTGTGTCACCCACTTTTGGAGAGATGATTAAAAATAGGTGGTAACCAAGCTGTACGGTAAGGGAACTTATAAAACCCAAGCTGTCAGAATGGGATGTTTCAAACATGTCAAAACCAAAACTGGTTCACCTCACTCTTATTAGAGGTTAGTCCCATATAGTCCCGTATTACCTAGCATGTGTGTGTATCTTTCTGTTCCTTCATGTGATGGAATGCAAAGAATCCTAGTTTGGAATCAGCAGATGTGAATTGAAATCCCAATTCTGCCTGCTACTTAGTCCCATGACCCTGAGTTAATCGTTTAATGTCATCCTTGGGCATCGGTTCCGCTGTCTATAAAATGGGTATGATATTACCTATATTACAGATCATTCAAGTCTACAAGATAACAACTAGCATAGTAAGTCCTTAACCAGTGCTAACTGAATCCAGGTTTGAAGAGCAGGATTGCTAACATGGCAGTTTAGAGCACTGGTTCTCAAATGGGAGTGAGTCTGCATCACAATCACCCTGGAGGGTTTGTTAAATCACCAGTTGCTGAGCCCCGCCCCCAGAGTTTCTGAGTCAGCGGGTCTGAGGTGAGCGTGCTGACAATGCATTCCTCGTAAGTTCCCAGGAGATGCGGGGTGCTGCTGGTGCTGGGATGGTGCTGAGAACCACTGGTTAGAGGAAAGGCTGAGCGTGAGAGAGCGTGTGCGAGAAAGTTCAATCACATCAGAAGAACGGTGTTAATAAATATCACAGCTGCATACTGCATACTGCAATTCCTGCCAAGTTCTGGCTCTCCTGAGGATCATCTGATGATCAACAGAGGAGGGGGAAAGGGCAACGCAGATTATTGTCCCTAGAATATCCTCTATTGGGTGGGGCTTAGTGGAAGGAAGGAATGAGGGCAACTCACCCTTGACCCCTTGAGCTCTGGCCCTAGACTTGCCTGGATGAACTTAGAGGAGATCCACGACCAAGGTGATGCACTGAGCTGGCCGAGCAGTGTGAAAAGCCTCCAGCAGGGCTTGGCCTGGCCACTGTTACCCAGACAACTGTCTCAGGCAGGAGTGGAGGGCTGACTGTGCCTTTTCCACTGCCCTTACTACATGTGTTCTGGGGATGACAGCATGGGGACAAGCCCCCAAATGGTCCTAAGCAGGGCTCCGTGGAGGGCCCTTCTCCCTGCAAACAGACGTCCACATCTGGCCAGAAAGCCACGTAATCACCATGCCCCATGCCAGCCAATGCCCTCTGAGAGCAATCAGCTCTCGGCTTAGTGAAGTTTTTGCTTAGTTGAGTTCAGAAAGTTCTCATTTTTACACCCAGCCTGGTGGGTTTTGTTCGGTATCAAGCAAGAAGAATATGAGAAGTTGTGATGTGTTCAAGTAACTTACAGAGATGAAGGTGCTCTTTGAAAGAGGTCTTTCCTGGTCTTCTGTTTCACATGAGGAACATGCAGGAGGCTTCACCAAATACCGTTTTCCAGGGCCCCTAGTCATGAAGCTATACTCCCCTGAGTGGAGAAGGGGTGAGCGCATTGTGCTGTCAGCCTTAACCCAGGCAGATGACAAAAGCTTGTTCCAGAAGCTTGATTCTTGGGAGCTGTGTGGCATGTGAAGATTGGAAGAACCCACCTGTAGGAGAAGGCGGGCCTCCAGCGAGAATGAGCTCAAGGTCAGAGTGTCAAGTGGACACTGGACTCCCCCTTCGCAAGGACAGGCCTGACCAGCTTCCAGCCCTCGACACCTCTGGGAGCTAGGCCGGCTGTGATGCCCACTTCTGTGTTGGTGGAGAGGAGGCCTCCAGACCGAGTCTGGGGCTCACCCACACAGCTGTGGGGCGTTACCAAGAGCGACATCATGGAAACAGTCCTAGGCACACGGAGCCAGGGCAGGGCTGGTGGGGGATTGAGGGGTCAACACGCCTCTTATGACCTCCTAATATCAGACCCACAGAGGCAGGAGTTTGTGGGCAATGCAAACACTTTCCAACAAGCTACAGAAGCAAAATGGAATGAACCATCTTCCTGCGGAGGCTTCTCGCTGGTTGACAGAGACAGGCCCTGACAAAAAGGACTTAAATCTGGCACTGAGAAGAGGATGGAGAGTCTCCACAGCCATGTGCCAAGCAGGCAGCAGCCCTCCCAAAGATCTCCAGCGAACCACGGGGGCAAATGCAAAGGCTTTCCTTTGGAAAGGGCTCCCGCAGCAGAGACCTATTTGTCCTCTCCAAAGATCACCCATGAGAATGCCAATCGGACCTCTGCACTAGCAGAGCACTGATGATGAGGTGATTAACAGGCCAGCCTGCATGGCGAGAGTCCCTAAGCTCCACCTGGGTCTCCGGGGGCTCAGAGGGCAGGAGGGAGCCCACTGCTTGCTCCGGTTGCTCTACACCCATGGGAGGCCCAGCTCTCAGCCCTGCCCTGCCGTGTGTGGGGAGAAGAGGGGCGCAAGCTCGATCTGTGTTCGTGCTGACCACGGGCAGGCAGCCTGCCCCACTCCCCACCATCACCACACCAGGGGTGAAAGGGAGCACACAAAGCAAACAGGAAATTGTCCGAAGCACAGCCACTAACGAGTCAGCTGCATCAGGACCAATCACCCGGCATGACATCCCCTCATCTGTCACACGGGTCCCTCAAAGGCGGACCCGTGTGACACTGTCAGGTGTGGCAGAGGCTCAGGGAGCGTCTCCCGTGACTTCACAGCACCCCTTCCTGGAAACGGCAGTGACACACATTCCCTGCAATCAGCAATCCCGCAGGAGGTCAGGAGTGGAAATGGAGAGAGCAGGGAGAAAAGAGAGAAGCTGTGAGTCAAGGAAGGGAGGATGGGAAGTTAAGGGACAAGTCCAGCACTCACGACAAATACCCAGGCTGGGAAAGGAGAGATCCACCCCGTCACTGAAACAGCCCCAACGCACCGTGGCTTTTCTCTTGGTCTCTACACTCTGTGCCATGATCTTTCCTGGGTAGCTCTCTCTTGACCTTGCTTCAGCCAGGGTCAGCTGAAGACACTGAAGGGAAGCTAACATTTCTGAGCGACTACTCTGTACCAGGTGCTTTGCTGGCACTTTCAGAAGTCACCTCTTTTAACTCCTATGACCACCTCTGTTTTGGGCTGAGGAGACCGAGCTAGAGGGGTCTGAGACTTGGCCCTGGCTGCCAGCTGCTTAGTGGGAGGGCTAGGATTTGCACCAGGAGCTGACAAAGGCAGACAGTGATCGGGCTGCGAGAGCAAAAGCGACTGTGGCTAAGACCCTGGCTCAGGCCTCCATTCACTAAGAGGAACAAAGAAGCCGCCATTAAAGCCTGTGCTCTGTGGGCAAAGATGGGTCTAATTCTGTGTATGTGAGCATTTTTGTGTTTTTTTTCAATTAAAAAAAGACAAAAGGGTAAAGACAGGGATAACAATTCATAGATTTAAAAAATGCTGAATTTATACCAACATCTCTGTATCTTATAGTGTTGGCGATTAACCTCTATATTGTTCATACTAAATGATGAGTCACAGTTTGTTATACAGCAGAAACTAACACAACATTGTAAAGCAATTACACTCCAATAAAGATGTTAAAAAAATAAAGTAAAATAATTTAGTAAGATTTTTAAAAAGAAAAAAAAACCTAAAAGAGAATGAATATATGTATATGTATAACTGAATCACTTTGCTGTATACCTGAAACTAACACAACATTGTAAATCAACTGTACTCCAATTGTAAAAAAGAATTAAAAAATATACAGTTAAAGGGGCTTCCCTGGTGGCGCAGTGGTTGGGAGTCCGCCTGCCGATGCAGGGGACGCAGGTTCGTGCCCCGGTCCAGGAGGATCCCACATGCCGCGGAGCGGCTGGGCCCGTGGGCCATGGCCGCTGAGCCTGCGCGTCCAGAGCCTGTGCTCCGCAACGGGGGAGGCCACAGTAGTGGGAGGCCCGTGTACCACAAAAAAATAAATAAATAAATAAAAAATAAACAAATCCTTCATTCAAGGGTAATTCATTCAAATATCATTCCCATCTATTATTACTTACAATAAATATTTACCTTTTTGCTTACTAATCATGTATTAAAATTTGTAATACATTTATGCTTTTACAAGTGGTAAAAAAAATAAAAATAAATGACGAGTCACTATACTTTATGAATAAAAAATGATCATCACCTGATACAAGGCTATGATTACACCCTTAAAATACACTTGTTAAGAAAATCTGTACCCCAAATATGCTTTCTAAATATATTTTCAGAGTTTAGTAATAAAGGACTCTGTCGGGATAATTACATTCCATTTCTTTTTTAAAAGATAACTGGAGAGAAAGGATGATTAAATCAAGAATATGCATTAAAATATAAACAGACTAGCATGTCTGTATCGGAAGGTAGACTATTTGATTTTCCAGCAGTGAATACAAGGTCATGTTATCCTCCACCCTCACAGCCCGTCCTCCAGCCTCGTGTCTGTCCCGGAAGCACAGACTCCCCAGCTAAGTTGAATGGATCTGTCTCTTTGTTCCTGTTCTAGCGTGAACTGCGGAGCCCGCTGGGGCCCAGCCCTCACCTCCTCCTCCCGGAGCTTCTGCTTCCTCTTCTCCTCCACGGCGGCCCTCTTCTGCGCCTCTCGCTGCCGCTGCTCTTCCAGCTTCCGCCACCTCTCCTCAATTTGCTTTTCGTACTGGAGCTTGGCTCTCTTCTGTTTCTCCAGGATCTGCTGCTCCCGGGCAGCTGGGGGAAGGAAGGCAGCAGAGAGGTGTCATTACCAGAGCACTCCACACCATTTGGATTAATACCAAAAACGCAGAAGTAAGAGTGACCCCCAAAAAAGAGCCCGGTGGGATCGTAGGCTGAAGTGACTGAGATGAAGCGTTCTGGCGCCTCCGCCACTAGCTGGGTGACCCTGGACATGTTAACCACGTCATCTCTCTGCCTCAGTTTCCTCCTCTGTGAAGTGGAGATGTCGCACGTGCAACATCACAGTGTTGTGGAGACCGAATGAGACAATGCACGGAAAGTGGCCACTCACTGCCCCTGCACGTGGGAGCTCTGCCTGTCATTGCCATCAAGTCAGACTCATCCCAATGGCTAGGCCACACGCAGGATTGAGAAATGAGAGCTATCAGGGTATCTTCACTCGGGACACGTTAGCTGTACACACACCACGCACCAGACGCTGAGCTGGGTGAGGGTAAACAGAAGACGATGAACAGGATCGGCCGGCCTCCTTCCTGAGACATTTACTAAGGGCCTTAACTCCACCTGGCCAGGCAGGCAAGGGTTCCCTGGAGGATGCAATGTCTGGGCCGACCAGCAGGAGGCACTCAAGGAGTAGGATTCGAAAGCTCCTCATCTGTCTCAGTGCCCTGGGGAAGCCACTCCACCTTCCTCGTGCCACCCTGTGGGGAACAGGTTGGACGAATCTGTCCATAGCCTGCAAGAGGTATGACAGCCTTTCTCAATGGGTTCCCTGTCCTAACGCAGAAATGGCCTTCGGTGCCGACTTCCTCCATTTCCCCGAGCATGGCCCTTCTAGCTGCCCTGGGGAGAGGCCGCCTGAGCGGGCGGGGGCGGTGACTGTCTCGTTCTCCAGCATCCTACCCACAGCTCTAGCGCAGTGCCAGTAACAGAGGTTCAACGCATGCTCAGGGAGCAAATCAACTGTCCTGAGAATTATATAACAACTGTGAACGGGCCAGTGGCAGTGCGGGTTTGCTCCCAGTTTTCCACGTTCACCTAGCAACTGTCCCAGTTCTCTTCCCATTCAGTCACAAATTTCTAAGGGTCTTGAGAAAAGACATCATCACATCTCCACTCCCTTAGACCTAAACAGCCAGAGCGCACAACTTACCAAGACATTTTTCTCTTTCTTCTCGTCTTTCTTTAGCTAGTCGTTGTCTCTCATCAGATTTCAAAAATCCATCCATGCCTACAAGAGAGAAAACACGATGAAAGACTTCACTCTCCCCGTCCGCTGAGTGCCAGGGACCCCATTGGCCTGCACCCTGGGTCTGGGCGCACGCACACATCATCCAACAGCAATGCTCCGTACCACACACACGGCCCGATCCTGAGAGCCGAGGGGCAGTAGCCGCGGCTGCCACGCTCCCCCACCAAGCTGGGCTGGTAGTGGCCCAATGCCAGCCCCAGAGAACCAACCCTCTCCCTAGTCCTCCGTCCCCAGGCCTGGCCTCACAGGGGTCAGAAGGTGCAATAAGTGACAGGTCTGGCAACGTGCAGAGAGCCCACTGGGCCTCCCCCCATCCGGCTCCCAGGGGAAGGCAGAAGCACAAAAGTAGACACGATTATTACACAGACAGTGAACATCTGACTTTCTGGAAGGAGCCAACTGCTGAGGGACGTGTATGAGCTCCTCGGGTGAACACTGAGAAAATACAACACTCAAGTTTGATTTCGTTTCCGCTAAGTTTGCTCCCATATCAATCTTAGCATTTTAGAATCACAAAGAAGGAATATAACGTACTCCTGTTTACAGTAAGTCCCCTACATACGAACGAGTTCTGTTCCGAGAGCACGTTCGTAAGTCCAATTTGTTCATAAATCCAACAAAGTTAGCCTAGGTACCCAACTAACACAATCGGCTATATAGTACCATACTGTAACAGGTTTATAATACTTTTCACACAAATAATACATAAAAAACAAACACAAGAAGTAAAGAAAACATTTTTAATCTTACAGTACAGTACCTTGAAAAGTACAGCAGTACAGTACAACAGCTGGCATCCAGGGGCTGGCATCGAGTGAACAGGCAAGAAGAGTTACTGACTGGAGGAGGGAGAGGAGGTGGGAGGTGGTAGAGCTGAAGGATCACCAGTAATAGGAGACGGAGGGCCAGCTGCAATTTCACTCACGCCTGACGTTGATGGAACGCACGTTCACAACTTTGAAAGTTCGTAACTTGAAGGTTCGTATGTAGGGGACTTACTGTACTTGTTACTTAAATATCCACAACAAATAAAATGGAACAAATGGCAATTCCCCGCAAGTCCGGGAAACATCCCAGGAGCTCCGCATCTCCACCCATCTTCTACAGGACCCTAAAGTGCTTTCTGAATCAAAGATTAAATGACCTTCATGGCAGCTTTAGGATTAAAAATAATTTATTGCACTTGGTCACAACTGGTCATTCATGAGTATTACTTATATAATGGTCAAGGACCGCATTCTGGAGAAATCGGCTTTAGTGTTACTACAACCGGATTCGCCTTCCCAGCGCCTGGGCCCTCCTCCGTGGTAGCGTCACAGCTGACTTCATACTGTGCCTCGCTGCCACAGTGAGCTGTGCCCTTGTTCGGGATGTTCCTGCCACTGCCCAGGAGAGGGACCTGGAGGCTTGGACCGCAGTGCAGGCAGCAGGGATGCACATGAGGATGCACGTGATAAACAATGGCTTGTCACGATTCCCCACGAGCATCGAATTTTGCAGCCTGGATTATGCAGCAGGTATATTACAGCTCAAGAGAGAAGTCCTGGAAAATAAACCTGACTACAAGTGCCACTCCCCATGTTTGTTTTTAGTCAACTCTTTTTTGTTTAAACTGAAGTATAGTTGATTTACAATGTTGTGTTAGTTTCAGGTGTACAGCAAAGTGATTCAGTTTATATATATATATATATATATTCTGTTCCATATTCTTTTCCATTATAGTTATTACAAGATACTGAATACAGTTCCCTGTGCTATATGGTAGGTCCTTGTTGTTTATCTATTTTATGTATAGTAGTGTGTATCTGTTAATCCCAAACTCCTAATTTATCCCTCCCCCAATCACTTTTGGTTATCATAAGTTTGTTTTCTATGTCTGTGAGTCTATTTCTGTTTTGTAAATAAGTTCATTTGGGTTTTGTCAACTCTTAATCATTACAATGCTACCGACGACATGAACAGCATCAAGAATTTAAAGGCCCAATTTCTCAACTCATCAATGCTGGCCTCCCCAATCTGACCCCTTTTCCCCACATCCCTTGCACCTTTTTATTTTTTAAAGATAGTAAGGAAGACTTTATTCAAGGGGGCTACTACAATGAGGTTTTTTTTTTTATACATCTTTACTGGAGTATAATTGCTTTACAATGGTGTGTTAGTTTCTGCTTTATAACAACGTGAATCAGTTATACATGTACATATGTTCCCATATCTCTTCCCTCTTGCGTCTCCCTCCCTCCCACCCTCCCTATCCCACCCCTCCAGGCAGTCACAAAGCACAGAGCTGATCTCCCTGCCTCGCACCTTTTTAAACCCCACTCACCTTCAAGACCCCACAGTTTCTGGCTGGCGGAACCCTAAGTTCATTCTGCTTGGCTGCAGAGCGCTCTCAGTCTCCCTGCAGGGAGGGAAGGGCTCCCGAACCAAGGGCGGGTGTGCATCTCTGGGTCGCCCGCTCGGGCCACACCCCACCCCCACAGGCCTCAAGGTGCACACACAAAGCCCAAAGGCAGCCACGTGGGCAGCGGAAGGGGAGCAGGGAGACAAAGCCAGGTTTCTCTTCAATGGTCCTCTAAACATTTTCAAGCTCTAGTCTCTACCTTAAGCGTTTGATTAATAAGGATTTGTTCTGTGTGAAAAGCTACAAAGAGAAGCCTAGGCCACCCGGACAGATGCTGACATCAGCACCCACATCAACTCCTCGGCTCAGGCATGACCTGTCACCCTCCAGATCTAAGATACTGCCTGAGAACCACCGAAAGTGTTGTTCAAACAGAAGAAAGAAAGAAAAACTGAGGGAAAAGGGCCAAGCACATTTGAAACTGGCCATGCTGCCTTGAGGCTTTACTAACAGAAGGCTGTTTGTTCCAGGGACATGCATGATTTTAGGCTGCCCCCTTGTGGGCACTTGTAAGAGTCATACCTTCAAATCATTTCCTTTCCAGAAAATCTTCATTATCAGGCTCCTTAGTCATCACCTGCTTCGTCATAACGGGAGGCTACAATCTACGAACCAAGTCCATTGCTTGAACTTACTCGGCACCATCACCCCATGATGACGGAGATACTATTATGATCCTCATCTTATAGGTACAGAAAGGGAGGCACAGAGGTTAACTTGTTCAAGGCCACACCATCAGAAAGTGGAGACGCCAGATTCCAACCTAAGAACCTGACTCCAGGACCCACACACACTCTTAATTACTGCTTTCCCATGCGGCTCTCTGGCAAAGGAGGAAACTAACAGCTCTACCTTAGCACCCATGAATGAAACCTTCATGGCTTTCTGAGACCCAGTATTGTACGCAAGGAACAAGTCCCATCCTTGTCCCAGGAATGTGCATGCAAATTTGGAGAGAAGTGCAAGTCCAACTCATTAGAGAAGTACCAAGTAGGCACTACTGTGAGCCAGGCACTGGCCAGCTGGGCACAGATGTGCTAATTATTTGTTTCCCCTTCAAACTGATGGTTTGGAAATGTTTGGGCGCTGGGTAGGGAAAGGGGGTAGCCAGATGGCCCTGGGGGCAACAGGGCCAAGCCATTCTTTTTTAGCCCCACTGAGTGGGGTGGAGTGACCCAAACAGCCCAAGGTGGGTAACCTGGAGTCTATGCTGTCATATGGCAGCCACAAGCCATGTGTGTCTGTTTAAATTTAAGATAATCAAAATTAAATGCAATGAACAGTTCAGTTCCTCCATCACACTGGGCCCATTTCAAGCACTCACTAGCCACATGAGGCTGGTGGCTACCGTACTGAACAGTACTGGACCAGGAGCCTCCAGTCTCACCCTTGTGATTCTCACCCTTCACACGTAACTGCTCTGGGACACAGATGAATAAGGAAACTCTCAGAGTCCAAACAGGGTTGAGTTTTGCTGGGTGAGTAAGGCTGGGGTAAGGCCTCCTTCCCCCACACAGTATCTGCCTCTCCTGATTAAAAGAGAACTATCAAGCAGTCATTTCCAGAACATCCATTTGAAGAGAAGCCAAATAATTAACTTACATCCCCAACTTCCACCTTGTGATCCCTGATGACTCTCCAGGGACCCCTGCCAAGAGGCTCTGGGCTTATCCCGAAGGAAGAAAGGGTAGAGCACAAACCAGACATTCCCTATGTGTTAGAGGGCGTGGACCTGACCTGTTATTACCACTACAACAACACAGCCAGAGAAATCAAGGTAGACTATGATTAACAGACCCAGGGCAACTGACCTTAATACACAAATGCTAACAATACCAGGAGACCTCCTCTAAAGACATGGTAGAGTCAAGAGTTAATGCTGAATTCGATTCACAAGGCAGTCTTCTTTCTGTATGGCCCGAAATCCTAGCGTTGTACCCAGTCGTCCTTTGTCCCTTGTACCTTGTATTACACGTGCACACGTATTGTCTCTCTGTTATTAAACCAGAGATCCATTTTATCCTTGAACCCCATGAGAACAGATGGAGAAGAGATCAGTGCTTGCCAGGGGTTAGGGAAGAGGGGCAGAAGGGAAGTGGTGGCTACAAAAGGGCATCACGAAGGGGCCTTGCAGTGACGACTGTGCCGGCGTCTGCAACCCTAGCTGTGAGAGTGGACTACAGTGCTGCACGTTAGTACCGCTGGGGGAAACCGGGTAAAGGGTACACGGGGTCTCTCTGCAATGACCTCAAAGTAGAAAGTTTAATGTTTAAAACTCTGGCCCAAGTGTAAAGCCCTGGGAGGGACCCAAAGACAAAGGGGGAACAGGGGACATGTTCCCAGAGGTGTCCTACCTACCAGAAGCACAAGGGGAACCCATGTCAGAGCCACCCCTGGCCCAGTCTTGATGTAGTAATGCTTCCCAGGGCAACAGCGCTCAGGTAGTGTGCACCCCGGAAATGGAGGCCTTTTCCTGGGCAATTCACCCCTACAGGAAATGAGAATCAAACAGGATACTGAGCAGCCAAACAACTATTTTATTTGAACAGAACAGCATAAAATTTCATACTTCACTGAA